GAAAAGGTCATGGGCTGCTTGGTTTCTAGAACTGGGCCATGAGGAATTCTACTGAGCCCAGGCTATGAATGTCCCTCATTACTAACCCTGATAGAAAACTACGGATTGGGTCACAGACCAACATTATTACTCATTTTTATATTGTAATTATTACCCAGCTTTTCTTTTGGTTCGAATCCACTTGGCTTCCTGCACCAGCCCAAACCACAACGACTGATTGTGGTGATTTTTTTTTATATTAAGTTAAAAACAAACAAATACCTGATTTTTAATTGATCTCGTCTTTTATCAGAATCTTTAATTACTATATCAGAACTCTTGCAGTGTACATGTTTGCATCTTATGATTAGGATCACATACTACATGTACATATACTACATTATAGGGTATTTATTAGTCACACGTAAGGTACTATGTTTTCTCTAACACACAGTATATTTCGTACATTTTATGTACTCCAAAGTCCTTTGCAATTCAATAAATAAATAAATAAATAAATCAACTGTACTCGTTAAATATGTATTTATTTTATTGTTTTTTTAGGCTGCACTTCACAAGGCTTCAAATGCAACTGAGGCCTGAGTACATGCTTTAAATACTCATTTATTTCTTCTTCTGGATGCGATATGCAGTGTTTTACACAATCATTACATTATAAACGTGAACTTTTCACTTATTTCATACTGAAGCATGAAGTTATTTTACAAAAACTAAAGTACATGAAATTCGTGTACTGTGTGCTCTATTTTATATTTTTTATGGTACAAAACTATATACAAACAGATTTTTAAAATATCTATAATAACTAATATAAAATATTACTAATATTATTTATTAATCATGAAAATTACTTTTTCATTTTGGTGTTTAGGTGACTCTGAAGCAGCCTAATGACTCAGTGTGATTAAATTAGGTGAATAATATAATAAATTTTAAGTTCTTTCCTGTTATCATCTTTTAAAATCTCACTAAAAAAAATACCAATCCAGTAAAATTATATTTTGATTTACCAACTTTGGAAGTCAGTGTTTAAATTTAGTCTAACCCTACAGCTCATCGGTTTAACACGGAGGACAGAGCAGTATATCAGATACTTTTTTCTGCAAAAATGTCATGTGTCCCTGTTTTTTTATAGCTAATAATTGATAAAAAATGTTGTGTTACATGATTTTGGCATATAAGTAGGGCAGGCCGGAAAAGGTTGACCTATATAAAGAGCAGTTTCTGCCAGATTTATCCACCTATGCACACACCTGGCCACACCTGCTAAAAGAAAATGGATATTTTTAATTATTAGACCTATTAAAACACTGCATTTCAACAAAAATCTAAAAACAAATGTGTGACAAATCTGGGAGATAATAAAGAGAGAGCATTTCTAATGAAACCCACCAAATCTAGAATTGGAGAAAAGGAACCTCTCCTCTCAGTAAAAGTGCACATACTTAAAACTTCCTCATCATATATTCATGTAAGCCTTTCGAAAGCCATCACAATCAAAATCAAATGAAAATCAGTCGTTAAATGAAACAGCTGAGAACTTCTGCTTGATTGCTTGACAGCATTATATTATTTGTTCCTGTTCGTCTGCTATGAGCAAAGCAAACGTGAGTTTAGTAAAGTTAAACACATGAAAATGTTGAGAACAGCAGCTACTCTGCTTTTCCTCTACAAGCCGCACGAGCGTCTTATTGAAAGTATGTCAAAAGATGTGATGGTGATGTTCGTGTTACTGCGGAAGCAAAGACAACTGTCCTCCTCCACTGCTCTTCCCCTTCTTTCATCTCCCCCATCACTTGTCTTGCCTTGACTCAATCCCCTCTGCCCTCACTCTACATGCCATAGTTTGAACTTCCTTTCTCTCTTCTTCAGCAACCTCTGCCTCCTCCTCATTACTCTGTTCTTCATCTCATCCCATCGTTACACTACAGCTTTGTCTTCACATCTTTTCTATAACCTGAAGTGCATCTCTTCTTTCCACTTCTCTCTCTGACATCGGCCATGGGCTGAGCTAGACAGTGTGGGTAGTGATGGTGTGGCAGAGTGCTTGTAAATGTGTCCATCTGCCAAGAAACAGGAGGAGGAAGAGGAGGCAGGGGAAAAGACCACGGAGCATGTGTTTTAATTTGGATTGATGGTTATCACATGTTAATCGTCTGGGAGTCATGTGCTCCTGCAAACACCACCACAATAAGATGTGCAGATGCATGGTGGCATTTCTCAGTGAACTTCTGTGCAGGTGTGTAGGTGCACACACACACACACACACACACACACACACACACACACACACACACACAGGCTAAGCCAGATATGTGAAGTGCACCAACTGCATACATACAAACTTGCATACATTAGCAAAGTGCCTGCAGGCAACCATAGCAACGGTTGCCATAGTTGCTGTAGGAAGCCAGAGTGGTTCCAGGGGAACCAGTGATACATATTTTTCAGTCCAGTAAAATGAAGCCAATGTGAAAGCGCCAAAAACTGCAATTCCTCAAATGGCCACATGATGCTTGAAAAGTGAGTCAAGCCCCATGTTACATTTTTATAAACTGTTAATACTCCAAATACAAATCGACACTTCTGTCCTTTCTTGTTGACACCAAAAATATCAATTAAACAGAACCTGTTGGTTCTAATAGGTTAAGCAGCCTCCCACTACCAGCCAGCGCTGCAGCCACAGTACATGGCTTCACTACCCTTTCTATGTGAAAGGATATTTTAAACAAGCAAGGCAGAAAGTAAGCCCATTTAACTTTTTAATGGAGCTTAAATTCATAATTTAGGGGAGCTGAGAAATACTCTGGTTACCTATTGATTTTTGATTTAGTTGTATAACCCAGTGGTCCCCAACCCCCGGTCCGTGAGTTGTTTGGTAC